TTCCACTCAAAGTAGTCAATTTTGATCAGGCACGTGGTCTTTTGGCGTGCAAGCTAAAGAAAAACTTAAAAGCGCGTTTTTTATAGGTTATCTTGTGTGCTCTCTCTAATGAAATGCTTTTTGAGATCTAAAAAGGTTTTCTAAGTGTTTTTCTAGGGATCTGATCTCGAGAAAACCACTTAGGAAACACCAGGACTTGTTTTGAATCAGCACTTAACTTGAAACGAAAAGATAAATTACTTAATTGACAAACTAAGTAAAAGAATAAACATCTTGGGATCTTTTCAAACGAGATTGGCACGAGCGCCTCTTAGACAAATATATTTATCATATATTTCGTTCGTTATGGAGTATGAACTGGTCTTCTATAGTATATTAAGTCTAGCAAGAAAGTCGTTGAATATGTATGTTATGTGCCAAAATGAGAAAAAAGAAGCAAATGTAGCACACAACATCTATATAGGACGACATTGTTCTTAAACTCAAATAAGAGAACAAATTCTATTTGCATTGAATATTCAGTTTAGTCAGCATGAAGGCCGTCCAAATAAATAAAATTTTCATTTAATCGTATTTTCGTGTTTCATTTCTACTTCATTTCATTTTCTACATAAAATTAATGTGATTATTCATTGAATAACTAAAGTCTGAACACATAATCTCCGATTATCATGACCCGAAGAGAAAGCCGGAAAGTCATGGTAGTGGAAAAGAATAGTTTATCTAGCTGCTGCATATAGCAGAAGAAAGTATATAGAGTAATATAGAGTAATTCATAGTGATTGCAGTGAACATTTCGATGAAAAGAAGAATTTTTTCACTTCTCACTTTCTTGCTTTCTATATCTGTCTGTACACTAGTCGAGCTGACCGGATCGGTCAAATAAGGTTAGTGAATAAATGACTGTGACTCCTCGTATGCAGACACATAATCGCTTTTTTCTCTTTTCTCTTTTCTGTTCTACTTCGGAATAAATAGTCATCTTGTTTTCTTTCGTTACACATCGATCGACTTTCTTATGCAGTTTCTTGCAAGATTCTTATTTCTTATCATTTCAGTCAAGGTTCTTGAAATTTTTCTTGTAACTTCGGCCAAGGTTCTTATTTGAATTTTTACTTCAGTTTTTATCGTTTTTTGGTCATGATTCTTGCCCGAATTGGCAACGCTGGTCAGCAATGGAATCACTTATTTTGTTTTATAAGCTTTAATGCTATATATGAAGAAAAGAATAAATGTCTTTATAAGTTAAAGATCTTCATCAGAATATAAAGAAAATTTCTGTTTTCAACTAGATTGTAGAAAAATGTTGTTTGTACTTGTGCTTTTGTTAACATGTATCTACTCTTCTTGTATGTACGAAACGAAATACAATTGACAAATTAAGAAAAAAATTACCTTATGTACAGCTTTATAGGTATAAGAATACACACACTGTTCAACTAGCAACTAGCAAAACTAAAAGAGTAACATCTAAGTTATAGTTTTCACAAAAATACAGTATCTGCAAAAATTTAAGACTGCTCCTATAATGAACCATAATAGCTAGTGACTTTAAATTTCGTGCGATTATAGCTATCAGAGAATGGTGATCTTCAAACAAATTTAAACCTTTTTGACTGGATCATTCATGAGATACAAAAATATAAAATGCTGGCAGCTTCTGATTTAAGCGGATGAACATTTTTTTACCAAAATGTAACGTGCCTCAATTCTACTTTTGAAAGTCACTCACAAAATTTGAAATAATCAGCTATCCTGGTTCATGAGTTACCGGTACTCTCGTAGAGTACCGTAGTTTAACGTAGTTAAACGTTGTAATGATTTTTATGTAACATCAGTGTAATGTTTTTTCGTAAAATCTTTTCTGTGCTTGTCTATTTTTGTGTTTTCTTTAACAGTGGTAAAACAATTGAACAAGACTTAGCAGTTGTCACTGATGCAAAGGTACTTGAGCATGAAATAAGATAACTCTACACTTGGAAGTAGTAAAATTATACTTTTATGGGAAAAAGAGGTCAAACTCTGTAGAATAAGATCGAATTAGTTTTGTAAAATCTGGTTGAATTGGTGAACCGTTAGCTAAGGACTGTGCACTAAAGTGTACCGTTTTACATTAAGTGTTTCAAACATATGTCGTAGGCAAAATTAGAGTCCAGTCAGATTTTACCGGCAACACATAGTTTTGACTTTTTTCTGACAATGTTTGAGTGGAATCACTTGTGAGTCACTGTGACTCACAAAGGAGCATAAAATGATCACGAATGCGCACGAAGTGATAAAATGATCATTTTACTCACACATAGTCACTTTGCGTTCTGTTTTCTCTTGCGGATAGATCACACTATAAAGAGAGGAAGGCCTCTTCGTTTCCTTTGTCAAGAAAAACTATTTCTGGTTTTATGCGGAAATGTTTCACAATTAGCCATGGAAACGAATACATGAAATCCTCGTTGCAACTAAGCACATTCACCCTACTCTTTCCTAGTTGTTGATTGGGAGAAATAAAAACAAGAATCTTGCCTGATTTATATTAAAATAAACTTTGAAATGAAAAGAAATAAGAATCTTCCAAGAACGTCGACAAGAAAGTGTATTTATACACGACGAACGAAAAAAAGGTGGCCGCTCGATTCAAAGTAAGAGAATAGAAAAGAAGAAAGAGAACAGAAGTCTATATGTCTGCATACGAGGAATCACAGTCATTTATTCACTCATCTTATTTGACCGATCCCAGCTTTCCAGTTTTTTCAGCTCTGATTCAGATCTCATTAAAATGCACGTTCGGATCACAGTAGGCAATTTTCCATAGGCAGGCGGACATTTGGTTTAACTCAGCTTTACCGGACTCAAAACAAAGCCTCGGTAGGTTTTCTTACATGCTCTTTCTTATGAGACCAGAAAATTTTCAAAAGTTCGGGTTTCGAGAGACCCAGACTCTGAAAAAAACCCGAAAAACCATGATGAAAAGTTTTACATGCCACCATTAGATTCACCATGGTCGAAAACCTAGAGAAAACGGGTTTTTATAATTTTTGAACACTCGCAGATTACTGCAAAAAACTTCAGCTCAAATTTTAGAGGAAAATATTGGAAAAACGCTGTTTTTGGAAACTTGAGCAGACTTCGGTTGAAACTGGTTAAAAGGCATATCATTAGATGCAGTTTTCTACACTGATTCCGAATATGTCCTGACTTTTTAGTCAAAATGTTTTTGTGATGAAAAAAACTGTGAAAACCTTTTAAAAACCTGTTTTTTCGGGAAATCTTGTTCTCAATGGGAAACGATCTGGGCATAAATGGGCTAGTATGAGTCGTTCCAGCAAATGTTGAAATATATTTATTAAAATTTTCAGATCAAATAGAGCTTGAGGTTCGTGGAGGTGCCCACTGTACTAAATAGGTGTTTTGGGAAAACTCCTAGCAGAGTGAAAAATCAATTTTTCCAAGTCAGAAAACACACAAATAAAAAACGTTTTTTACAAATCGATAGCCCAACGCCTCAGCTTTCAGAATATATGCATTTCAATTTTTAATATCTTTGCCTTCTAAAACGGGGAAGCGACTTTTCTGAAAGTGCCGCAAAACGCATCCAGAGTTAAAACTTACCCTTTTCCGCCATCTTAAACATTTGGATCAAATTTTTCCCACCATTAAATCGGTTATCGAATAGTGTATATATGAGAGTATTTGAATCTCGAAAAATCTCACTTTCGTTTTTTGTCTAATGTCCGCCTGATTACCTACTGTGCGGATTCAGAGCTGAAAATCCTGATCAGCTCATTCAGCTCTGATTCTGGTGATGGAATGTTTTCTCCACTCCGAAAAAGTCAAAGTGTGTTTTCTAATGTATTTTAATTGCATAAGCAAACCTAAAAATAGTTCAAAACTCTACAAACTGTTCCGCGAATCCTGAAATCTCGTGAAAGTTATTATAGATGTGCTGCTTGGCTGGGCTATTTGCTAAGTAGTAATGTTTAGACCTGGAAAAACAGACCCGTATGTTTTCGTCGTGAAAACGTCATCTCTCAGTGCGAACGGGAAAACTACAGCCCTCGAAGAACTCAGGCGTTTGATCATATAGCTCTAAAGTAATTCTCCTAGAATTCATAGGGAAAATGTATAATTCTATACATTGTCTGAAATGTACGAAATCTGGCATTGCTGGCTATATTAGGTGATTTCGTTCGAGCAAGAGAAAGATGCAATTATCTTCGTCAACATTTACGTCTGCTTATGTCATGTTTAATTGGGTCCGACCTTTTTCACTGCCGATCAAATGGGTATTCACAACGTTCTAATGACGAGTTCAACAACATATCCGTCCTTTTACCGTTATTTGCGTTGACAATGTCAGTTCACTTGGAAGTGGCCGGACTGTTAATTCTACATTATCGTCATTCTTTGACTTATTGATCATCTCATTAGGCATGAAAATTGGATCAGATAGGACTGGGTTGACTTGATAGCGTATCGTCAATGCTGTGTGCTGCATTAGTTCTGCCGTTTTTGATTTGATATGACGAATATTGTTGAATGGGTAGCGATCTTTATCGATGCACACAACGATTAACGGGATACCCAATCCATACTAACTTACAGAACAAAGAAGATGAATCTGTGCAGATGTTACTGAGCAAGTTGTGTTAACTATCTATTCCTCGTTTTGATTCAGAATCTCAGTCACAATTCGGCTTTATTCTAGGCTATTTTCGTTTTCTTTCTATTCTAGTATTTCGATGACTGAAAATAATCAGCAGGTGCGATACAACGAGAAAACTATAGCAGTGCCTATCCGAGTGGTTGGTAACGTTGGATATCTATATCTTCAGGATGTACATGGCTATGCCTCTGCTGGAATTACTGCTCTAAAACGACCAAGTGGTGCCCCAGTGCATTATGAACTAGACAGCATAGCCAACAGACTGATTCCATTGCGCTTCAAAGCTTATGAAAACGAGATTCCTGATTGTTATATATCATCCACTACTGCTGCTGCATCCATGCAACAAACTCCAATCCCGGCCGTTCTGAAAGACAAGGAATTTTGGAGTAACTTCAATGATGGTATGAATACAGTTCGACGTTCTATAGATGCTGCTGCTACTGGTGACATGCATGAAAAACCGGAAAAAATACTAGACAAAACAGATCTGCTTGTCAACACTTCCGGTCAGATACTGGCTGTGATATGCCGACAAATGTACGAATTGGTCGAGTTTACTGTACCACGATTTTTTATTATAATGCCGGAAGAAATGTCGATCCGTAACCCCACTCAAGTGTTCTTCAATAACTATCGTTTATTTTTCATATGTGAGTGCGATAACAAAAGTGATATGCATCTGGCCTATCATGACGGCTATCCAATCAATCGACCAAGAGAGTTTTTTCTTCGCTATGGCTCTTATATCAGACATGGCATTCAAAGTATTTGCCACAGCAGCAAGCTTTGTTCTTTCACACTGCGCATTCATGCAACAAATTCCAGTACCGGCCATTCTGAAAGACAAAGACTTTTGGAGTAACTTTGGTGATAGTATGGATACAGTAGGACTTGCTGTAGATGCGCTGACCACAGAGCCAATCAACATAACAATAAACACAGCGCATCATCAAACCTTCGAAAGTGCTGAGCTTTGACAACTCGAAAAGTTTCTGAGAAAAACGGTTGATTGTCGAACGTTGGGCAATTTATATCGAGCAATCACTGATGATGGATACGTCAGATGGGTATGCATGAATCATTATAAACAGAGCTATGCCAGTGGCCGTGTTAAAGAACATATCAGGCAGTTTGAGGCAATGGGTGGGCTTTTCGACACAGAATGTAACGAAGCAATGATCAAAACAAATTTGAATATAAAACAGTTCTGCGAACTACTTTAACGTGGCTTTAATATGTATAAACTATCTCTGATCGGATGCAAGTTAAGCGAAACCGATCTTCATAAATTGATCGAAGCTCTAAACCATACATTCATCAGGAGTTTATACTTAAACAAAATTAAAGTTGTATTTTATGTAGGAATGAGAAAAACTCCAGCAGATGTAATTGAACTGCTAGGAAGAACCTTAGGTAGACAACCGACTTAGACATCCGCTATAACATACCACAATCCGACTTTCCTGTTTATTACACAAGATTTCTATTACCGCTGCTTAACAATTCTACAAATATTACATTAATGACTGAAAACAGAGAACTGGCAAAATTTCATCTAAACTGTAGTTACAGTGAAATCAACGACTCTATCATTAAACTTCTCGGAAAAGCACTTGAAGCAAACCAGATATTAACAACACTTGATATAAGCTGCAATGAAATAGGACACAAGGGAGCGAAAGCTCTTGGAAAAGCACTTGAATCTAACCAGACACTGGCAATGCTCAATATAAGCCAGAATACAGTAGCAGGTGAGGGTGACAAGGCTCTCGGAAAAGCACTTGAATCGAACCAGACATTGACAACATTTGATATAAGCCGGAATGCAATAGGAGACGACGGAGTAAAAGTTCTGACAAAGGCAATTGAGTCGAATCAGACATTGAAAGCACTTAATATAAGCGGCAAAGTGGTAGGAGACGAGGGAGCGGAAGCTCTCGGAAAAGCACTTGAATCGAACCAGACGTTGATATAAAGAGATGAATTTGTATTTGAATATGGTGGGAAGAATAAATTATAAATTGATGTGTGGGAAAGAAAATTTATAATATTTGTAATTTGCTTTAGCAATTAATCATTTACATGATTCATTCAGACAATAAATAATCTCTGTGCGAAGTGTCTAAATATTCTTCTTACTATATCACTATCACCCACCATTAGCTTTTTTATTACAACAGAATTTCTTGAATAGTTTTTGTTGATATTTGAATTTGATGAATGGCAAAGGATGTTACACACATTGTAATATAATTGTACCCTAAGAGGTTTTTTATTTTCCTGATACAAAACTAATTGACTACATATTTTATTTGAACAATTTCCCGTCATTTCTAACGCAACTAATATTCCGTGTGGATTAAAATTGATTGGAAATAAAGAGTGAAATTCATGTAGAATTTGTTAAACAACAGAGGTATAGTTGTCGTTTTGTACGTAGTTATCAGCTTAGACCAATGCTATTAATCCGATTCTCTATCCGGCGGCATAGTTTCCAGAATCCTTGAAAAAGCTAGGTCAGATTTTTGCGACAAAAAAAGATTATTTTTGATCAAAATGAGATATCTCCCTGCTCTGAGTGACGTTCTGATCAAGAGTTATGAGAGTTTTGCTGGAAGTCCTAAAACTTACAGGAGATACTGGCGCCAGAGCCCTACAGGTTAAATCTAATCTAACCTATAGGTTAGGTTGTAGGTTACGCCATTGATAACCTATTTTTAACCTAAACGAGAAAAAACGATTTTGAACGACCACATTAAAACAGCCAACACTGTGAGTAATAAAGCGTAATCCGAGTGGAATTTTATCGATTGAGGATGAAGTTCAGACTGAGATTCTCTAGTTTAAACTGAACTATTTTTAAACTGAAAAATAGCATCGAAGAACGATGTTGTTCTCGTTAAACATAGTAAGATACGAGCTAGCCAAAATGTCATGAGTGATAAAAAAATGCATTTTCTTGTCATCGATGACATTTTGGGTAGCTCGTAACAAGATGACAGGTGCATCAGCAAGTTTTCAGTCAGGATAATAAGCAGTGCCCAAGCAAAAATCACCTATGGAAAAAATCTAGACACATTTTGTCTATAATCGGGCGATGCAGGATTAGTTTTCCAAAGCCTTACAATGCGATAAATCTGAATTTTATACCAAAAATTTCTCCGAACACATTATTTCGTCTAAAAATCAAGGGGGAAAGCACGAAATCCTGAAATCCTAAAATTCTATGGAATCTGGTGGATTCCGATGAAATCCGGGATTCTACACTTCTTCCGAAACAGAACAAAAGTGCTCTGTTTTGAGGAAAGTTCCAGGGAATCCACGGGAATCTTATGGAGTCCTAGGGAATCCTTGGAACCCTATAGAATCATAGGGAAACCTTGGAATCCAGGAGAATTCAGGATTCTAGGATTCCGTGCTTTCCCCCTTGCTAAAAATCGACAAAACTAAGCCTTCGGAAAGCTTAGAATGTGTCAAAAGAAGGTTTTCGCAGCCTGCGGATATTAGTTCGCTTTAGAAAATCCGAAGGCGTTAAAATGAAGGTTTTTAATGCGTTTGGAGGAGTGCAATGTAATTAAAAACGCCTTTACATACATTAAAAAAGTTCTCGAACGCACACAGACAGTGAATATTTGTCAAGACGTTGCACGCGTTCCACATCTTAATGCGTGTTAAAGCGTGTTGTCATGGTGAACGCCTTCGGATGGATTAAAAACTGGAACGCATGTGAACAATGAATTTTCTTAGCCCATGTCAAGGCACTCTAACCTATTTATGCGTTCGGAACAATGCGATATGATGACAAAGGCCTTAGCATGTATTAAAAACGCAGAACGCGTGCGAAAAGCGAATTTTTTTGATGCCTTTCTATGCATTGCATTGTTTAATGACTGTGCAGCAGAGAAATGAAATGACGAAGTGCTTTGCATGCATGAAGAAACTGGAATGCGTCATTGCATAAGTATGAATTCCACCCATTCTATATTGAAAGTCACTCAACTGCCTACATTTTGTTAGCATTTAGTTCCCAATAACCGGCAAACACAGTAATTTTACAATAATTTTCAGAGGAGTAAATACTCAAACAAATCTGATATTTAAGAATTGTTAGGGTGTTGGAAGCCAGGTGGTAGTTGGGATAATTTGCAATTGAGAGACCTAACATATTTTGGCGGAGTCAGATTCCGCGAAAAAACTTTGCCAGCAGATAGTACCCAAATGCCGTAAAAATTTGAACTTGCTAACTAACTTGCTAAAATTTGAACTTGAACTGCTGGGAAAACGTTTTCGCGGAATCTGACTTCGCCAAAGTATGTTAGGTTTTTTCTGCTTTATTATTTTGCCTTTCGTTATTGAGATCAGTACAGAACTACATGCCCCTAAACTGACTGTTAAATGCCAGTATATGATCAGTATTTTTCCCGTTTTGAAAGTGGGAAAAAACTGCCTCGAATCAGTTATTCTACAAGCACTTTTCTTTTCCATTAGATGACGGTCTGATAACTCGAAGAAAAATGGCATTTTACAGTGTCTGTAAAACGGCATTCTTTTTACCGTTGGTCATTATTTGGCATTTTTTTCATAATTAATGGAAACTCAGAAAAAGTCATGGTAATGCACGTTAAATGTCAGTTTTAAGCCATTTTTTTACACAATTTTAAATAACAGTTTTTTGCCATATCGTTAACAGGCTGTTAATAGACAATTAAATGGCAGTTTTCGTGCACCTGGGCATTTTCTTATCACCCATGACATTTCGGCTAGCTCGTAACAAGGCGACAGGTGCATCACCAAGTTTTCAGTCAGGATAATAAGCAGTAGGATGGTAGAATATTACAATACATGTGTGCATTTAAAAAGATTAGACAAGTTTCCACCATGAGTTTTTCGACGCGGTTCTTTTAGGTGTACGTTCTAGATATTTATTTATTTTCATTGTACATGTTCCGAAGAATTCGTCATGTACTTTTTTAAGTTTTTATCGAAGAGAAAACGATGACTTTACTTTACATTTTCTGTATAGACGTTTTTACTTGCTGTATGAAAAATGTAAGGTCATGATTCACACACCGGTTACATTTCTTATACAGAAAGTTACACTTTGATCATTATTTGTTTTTCATTTCATCATTATTTTTAGATAAAAGGAAAGAAAACAAGAACTGTAATACGCCGTCTTCGTCATATATTCGATCGAACTAAATAATGCGCCGAGCGGTCGTTTTGTGTTTCATTTTGGGAGCAGTGATAATGACATGTGTTTCATTGCCGATGGATACTTTGCATAATGGAGCGACTCTTAAGCAAAACGAATACCTGGTTTCGGAAAACAAAGCTTATTATGCTGTTATGCAGGGCGACGGCAATTTTGTGGTCTATGTATCCGCTGTATTTAATGCGAAAAATGCTATTTGGCATTCGGGAGAAGCTAACATGAGACCTTTTGTTGGTCCCTATAGATTGGTGATGCAGGATGATGGAAATCTTGTTGTGTATGATGTCTATGATCGGGCTGTGTGGAACTCCAGGACAGCGCAAAAAGGTGCCAAGCCTCACCGGCTGGTCATGCAAAGTGACGGTAATCTTGTCTTGTATGACGGTGACTCAAAATATACATGGAACTCGAACACCCAACGTGGTCGTCGAAATATCCAGTGACAACTTCTTCTGTCACAATGTGTAATTTGTATCCAAGAATAAAATAAATTCTATGATTCTGCGAAACTCATTATCGCAGAGTTCCCATTTCGACAGTAGTGTGTGTAGGATTAGAGGGCAGAATCAAATCCTGGCAGTTATTATTTCAGATAAAGTCGAAGCCATGGGGACATACCTATATACACCTAAGAAGCAGTATCGTAAAGACTTTTCTCGCTTAAGTGAGCTTTCGCGAGAAAATCGAGCATAGCGTTCCCCAGGTCAAACACTTTAATTTCTTTGATGATCTTAAAATAAACACGTCACGAAATAAGGTTGAAATCTGATATGATTGATGTTTCAATTTGTGAAGTTCTGGTTTAAATATACTTAATATTGGAGGAAATGGGATGGAGTTGTGGAGTAAATATTGTAAGTTCTGAGGAAGAAAGAGGCAGTGCCGGTTGAATTGTACAAAGATTGGGGGAAATGCGTTGGACTTCTGGTGTAAATATTCCTAGCTTCGAGGAAAAAAAGAGGGAGTTCTGGTGTAAACATACTAGGATTTGAGGAACAACGATGTTGTTCTCGTTAAACATAGTAAGATACGAGCTAGCCAAAATGTCATGAGTGATAAGAAAATGCATTTTCTTGTCATCCATGACATTTTGGCTAGCTCGTAACAAGATGACAGGTGCATCAGCAAGTTTTCAGTCAGGATAATAAGCAGTACCCAAGCAAAAATCACCTATGGAAAAAATCTAGATACATTTTGTCTGTAATCAGGCGATGCACGATTAGTTGTCATCTAGATTACTAGTTGGAAAAGGGACTTTTAACTAGATGCGTCTGCATGTGCAACTAGCAATAGTTAAATTGATCGATTATCGGGCGATTAGTTGCAACTAGAAGAAATCTAGCAATCGCCCGATTTCTAGATTTGCACGGTCGCTACCCAATAGTTGCAATCGAGTAAAAATCTAGTAATCTAGATGAATATTAGATACTAGATTTCTTTTTTAAGCTTGGGTAGGATGGTAAAATACTACAATACATGTGTGCGTTTAAAAAAGATTTGACAAGTTTCCACCATGACTTTTTCGACGCGTTTGTTCTACGCGAAGAAAAAACCAGAGAAGTATGTAACGGAACGCTAACACACTTCATTCTTCCTCCTACAGAAACCTCTAAAGAAAAAAATATTGAACTGCACAATGTAGAGATTTAACACTGCTATAAATATGGTCATATTAGCGAACTAATTTTTGTCCAAAGCAGCTGGTATGTGATGCGAATGAGTTATGTAAGTTGTAACTAGAGCAATTTTCTTTGTTTTCGGTTACGTGAAAGACTTTATTCCATAAAAACGAACGTTCGACCGCCAAATAATGACCAACGGTAAAAAGAATGCCGTTTTACAGACACTGTACTTCCAGCTGGCAATAGAACTTCTTCTTCATGTGGGTATTTCGACAAAGCCGAAATATCCAAGCCAAATGAACTGTAAATGGCCGTTCTACGAACAGCGAGTACATCTGGTAGCACCTAAACACTATTAAATGGCGCGTTGTACTTGGTGAGTATCTAAATGTTGAGGACAAACCTCAAATTTGGTGAAAGGACAAGTATCGGAAGATCAGGAGCAGTTTTTGTTTTCCTCTTCTGAACGGAGTAACAAAAAGCAAACAATCAGTCAGCGACGAGGTATTGGTGAAAGTTTCTAAATAACACAAACATCATCGAGATCCTGTCAAAATTTCATTCATAAAATATCTTGTAGAGATTCACTACATCAAAAAACGTCAGAAAACGCTGTATCTTAGTGTTGTATAATCGTGTATTTATGATTCTAAATTTTTTGATTCACACTTCAGAATCCAACAACTACTATTACTTACAACTACTAATACTTCATACTATGAAAACTAACGTCTCACATTTTCAAAAGTTTTCGGCCGTTCATCATACAGACCAAACCGCGAATATGACAGTGAGCGCTCCGAAAAAATCAAAAGCTTCATATTGAACCATTAGGTCTATACACATAAGTTCTTTCCTTTGACCAACTTCTGGCCGAAGGCTAACACATCATCCATGTTCTTTTAATAAGTTGCCAAAGAGATGAGGCTAAACAGTACTTTATATTGACTTTAGATGGCAACAGGCGCAGTCGATGGCATTTGGTACTGGAAATCGAATGCTAATCCTTTTTCTTCAACGGAACCAGCAGAATGGTCGCGATTTTCCGATATTGAAAATGAAATAATTGAGGATGCCTTCCAACATAACAAAAAAGAAGTGTTGCTTGACAATCATTCTATTGACTTTAAGTTGGAATTACAAATAAACAAATCAGATAAAACAAGGCAGCGGCCGGTACTGCGTAAATCGGACGACTGTAATCAACAATTTGCACCACGCGAAACACGATTTAATATTGTTGATATGCCGGTGAAAACATTTACGGAAGCTGGTGGCTTCAGCAAGCTTCAGCATAGTAGCGTACCGTCGTTATTTCGTAATTGGGTACAGAAAATAAATACAAAAGAATTACGTAGTTTTATTTTGTTATAGACGTCAGAGAATTTCCCTTTCCTTCTTTCGTTTTTGCCGTACGTGTTTCGCCTCATTACTAGAAAGAACGAGAAAGAAAGAAAGAATTTCATTTTTCATGCGTAATTTTATTCTGTATGAGTTATGTAATATATATTAGACCCGACAGTATTACTCTGTTCTCACTCTGTGTCTGTATAAAAATGCCACGAGTCTGTATTCGTAAAAAGCAGCCAAAATATACCGAAGGGAGTTTAAATAAATTGATTGATTTGATTAAAGACAACAAAATTAATGTTAAGACCGCACAGTGGGCATCCAGGCGGACATTTAGCAAAAAATCGAAAGTGCGGTTTTTTAAAATTAAAACAGTGCCAAATATACTTTGACACATGGGGTATCTAATGGAGTAAAAATTTTTGTTTCGAACGAGGAATTTGCGGGTAAAACGTCGCCATTAGAAAAGATATGATCACAATCATTTACATGTCCTCATTGTTTAATGAAAAACAGGATAACTATGACACTGAAAAGTTAGACTTTCTTCTTCATTTTTTATTATTAGAAATAAATAAATATATAATCGTTTTTTTAATGCTTTTCTGGAAAATATAAGGAATTTCAAAATATGGTTCTCAGTTAAATTGACTGGAATTCTAAATTCACCCTATGCGATACTATGTGATTCTAAGTTCATCCTAAATATTTTTCGTCCAATAGCACTTAGAAATCCCGATTCTAATTCTTTCCCTATTAAAATAAAGTTTTGTAAATGATCTAAGCTTGTAGAGAAGACTCTAGTCTATCTAACCATCTATTTTTTCATTTTTAATTAATGTTCAATCAATTAGAACTTGAAAACGTCAGTCCCAACCATTTCTGCTGTAATTCGAAAATCACCCTATGCGTGTCTACGTGTTTTACGAATTCACCCTATCCAGGGTGATTTTAGAAAATCGATGGATAGAGAGACAGTCTCTCTTAGTGATCCAGATCCAGATAAGATTTTAGAAAAATTTGTGGATAGGTCGATAGACCAACATCTGCTAGAGAGATCCGTCGAATCAGATTTCAAAAATGTTAAGAATTAAAAAAGTTATTAAAAAGCGAAATTTGCTTCGCGTTTTATTCCAAATTCACCCTAATTAACTCTAAGTTTTCGTTGAAAAAGTCCAGCGAAAATTGAAGTTATCCTACGAGAAATTAAATGTTAATTTTTTTCCTCCTCCTGAAACTGAAACAAAAAATGTTCGGCTCATTCTACAATACGAACTGACAGCGGTTGAACCTTAAAGGATACTTTCGTCTTGATTAACACGGCACTAATCTTTTTGGAGTTGAAAGTGCCATATTGTGTTGATTTTCCGATATGAAGTTGCATTTTTTTTAGAGTTTTTTCGCTAATTTACAACTGTATTTGAACTATTCCGAATTGCGTTAAATAACAAAATAAAATACCGTAAAAACATTTCGGTGGGCAACGTTAAGCTCACTGAGAGCTCCTAGTGCTCCGACAGTAGGTATCACGCAGCAATCATTAAATTTTTAGAGTAGTATTTTGCATTTTTTGGCTTCAAGAAAGTATTTTAAGGCGAAACTAATTCCATATTCGTGATTAGCGTCAGAAACTGAATCGAATAATGTGTCATTCAGTCAGCTGTTTCAGCAATTTGTGCTGCAAAAAAACACTTTTATTAAAAAAGAACTTTCGCTATAGACTGCTATCGCATTCCAAAATACAAGGCCGGTGGCTATTTTTTTAATAACTCAAAAGGAATAAAAGATAGAGACTTGCCGTTTTCATCATTCACTAGCCAAGGCCTGAAGCTATGTTTTCATAACCAAAAACGAATTTGAAAAGAATTCCAAAGACCGGTTTTTCAGGAGGTCTGTGGAAAACCAGTTCAGTTCTCTGAAAGCTGGCATAGAAATCTATGAATTGTTTTACGTGGATGCATAATCCGAAGTGTCCTCTACAAAACTAGATCTAAGCGACATCTTAGAAATCCGTGGTTTGGGAGCTATGGTTGTCTTCCCTGAAGCCTTAGCACTCCTGTGCCGTTAGGTTTGAGACTGTCAGAAACGAATGAAAACATAGGTTATCGACTATGCTGAATCTCATGGCAATGTTAGTTTTCAGAACAAAATCGGAAATTCAGAAAAAGTTTTCAAAAAAAAATGTTTTGAACTTTAAATGAAATCGCAATGTCACAAGTGCACCTTTCTGTTGGTTGCTGGACAAATCCTTAGTTGCGTAAAATAAGTAATCACGTGGTAAGAAAATATAGTTATCTTTTGTTAAAGAAGCAATCTTTCGTTCTAAGAGTATGAAAAGAAAACGAAAACCATTAATAAGAAAGGCCTTGTTTTCTGTCAAGTATTATACCTATGTATACGAATCCGTTGTTATGTCTATTTTCTATTTTCAACCAATATTCAGAAGAAAAAGAAAATAGTTTCATTACTATGAACTAGTAAGATAATCGATAAAATTTAGTGAACTGTACATTTTAGGAGCATGGCTGATCGTGGAACTGAAACAAAAGGAAGTGGTATATGGTACTGGAAATCGAATCCTGATCCGTGGTCAGAAACCCAATATGCACAGTGGACAACATTTTTTGGCATTGAAAACGAAATAATCGAACGAGCTTATCTGAACAAGATTGGACATGCATCACTTGAAAATTACATCATTGACTTTACAGATATGGTTCAAGTACATAGAAAAGAGAAACATAAGAAGAGACCGGTCAAGCGAGATATTCTATCAACGGTGAACAGCGATGACTGTGTTCTAGGCCCGGGCCTGCTTTCGCCTGGTGAACCAGGAGAAGTTTGTCGGGTGGTTTGGGAGTGGGCCAAACAAGAAAATGACTCGTGTCACATTCTAAAGGAAGAGAATGCGGCGGAAATCATTGATAAAGCAGCGGACGGCATCCTGGTAGAAGGAAAACTTTTGAAGCGTGAAGCTGAAGGAAGACAGTTTGCAGATGGGTTGAAGACAATGAAAGGAAAAAGTTTAGATGAACTGAGTGTTTGTTGTGTTGCATTGTATGCCACGGAATCTTTCATGTACAAACTGGTGACTAGAACACTGCAAGAGGATGACCTATCTAAAATTACTACGATAGGACCCTTTGGCTTTCTCTTGAACAATGCTCTTTGGAGATTACGTTCCACTGGTAACTTCACAGTATATCGAGGAGTTAATATGGACAGAATCAAGTTAGTTGAGTATAAATCGCACATTGGCAAAGTGTGATCCTGGAAAGCTTTCATCTCAACAAGTAAAAACAGACAGAAAACCGAAAACTTTGGAAATACGTTATTTATTATATCAATAGTACAACGACCATTCGTAGCATCACTCTACACAGATATTTCGCCATATTCGGGCGATGAGGAAGTTCTTTTACCGACCTCCGTTAGTTTTCTCATTAATAGTGTTGTATACGATGATAGAACAAAAAAACACTATATTTATATTACGATCTAAGTATTTTTGCTTACACTATAGTTTTTGTATCAACTGCACTCTTTTCTTCTCTCTTAAATGAATTGTCAATAAATGCGCTAAAAGACAGTCCTCCAGGAAATCCGATGCCAGGGAGGTCGACAGTTCATCTTAAGTTAACCATCTTCAATTTCACATGTGCAATTCCGTTAACTTAAAATAAAATTAATCAATTTATATCCTTATATAAATTTATAGTCTTTAAACTTTCCAATCTTTACTTTAATCTTTTCATTTGATAATCCAAATCAAATGAATTGATAATTTTTAGAATCAAATGGATCGATTTAATAGAATCTCATTTATAATAATAAATAAATATTAGTATACCATTAAAAGGCTATTAGACTCATTCTCTACGTCTGTTACAATAAGTCTATTACACTATTATACTTAATCTAACTACTTTATTTGCGTTGAAAATATACGCTCATACTAGTCTGTTAGTGTTGAACTTTGAATTAACCCACAACAGTGAATAAGTAGTTCATCGTTATTCTTCAACAGAAAAAAATGGAGGAAGGTAAAGATTCTTTCTTTACGAAGCAATTCGACAATCGGGAGCATTTTGAAAAACATTTTAAAAAGTGGTGTGATAATTACTATCAGCCAGCGAATATTAAACGCTCTTCAACTAAATATAATGGAAAACCAATGAAAGAACTGTTTGATCGCTCTCGATACGAAAATGTAAAGTATGTATGTATAAAAAGAGAAAATGTATATAAATTATGCATGTATATTACAGAGTATACCCCCTATAATATAATATTATTTTATAGGGGGGGGGGGGATATACTCTATAATATTATATTATAAGGGAGGGGGTATACTGTATAATATTATATACCGGGTGTCCGGAAATTCATTGACTAAAAAGAAAATTAAATATCTTCGCGATTTCTCAACCAAACTTCAAGGTTGCTCTTTTGTTTGATAGAGAAACATTCCAAGTTTTATTTCATACGATCGAAAAGTTTTGTGTACAAAAGGATCAGTACAGAAAAATAATAAAACTTACAACATATGTTTTCTGTGTAAGTACTTGTAATAGTGCGTAAAGATTATTGAACTTGTCATAATTAAATGGAATCTTTGTCAGCGTCGCACAACATATCATTTTGTAGAACTCAGGCTGCTCTACAATCTCGCATGTTCAAATGTTTTGTTCAGTTTAAAGTTTTGCCATAAGAAGTTAATTTCTCG